CCCCCCCCCCATTCCTGCCTTCTGGGATCACCTCCCAAATAAACTACTTGCACTCAAGCCCTTGTCTCAGGGCCTGCCTTGCAGGGACTCAAACACAGACCTCCCCAAAGTGCATTTGACCAGAAGGGCACCAGGCTAGCTCGTCACATCCCAGCCATTCAGTCACCTAACCAGGTGTGAAGCAGCCTGTTAATCCTTCGCTCAAACAATCTTTGAGCTTACCACTGTCCACTGATTTCATTGTCCTGGGCGGGTCTACTACTTGCTCTCCTCAGTCTGTTAATTATAGTGTAAAATTTTTAATTAAAAATAAAGAAGATAAACTTGGTTAGTAGCTTTAAAGTTGTCACTCTCAACTCTACACAGGCTGAGAGAGACACTGAGGCTGGTACACACCAGTTCAGGTTCAGGTTCTCTGCTGAGGAATTAAGAATGAGATATTTGGATGCTCAGCTTTCTCATAGAAATTTTTTTTTTTAAAATCCTCACCCGAGGATGTGTCTATTGATTTAAGAGAGAGGACGGGAGAAAGAGAGAGACAGAGACATTGATCAATTGCCTCCCATATGTGCCCCAAATGGGGACCTAACCCACAACCTAGGTGTGTGCTCTGACTGGGAATCGAACCTGTGACCTTTCAGTGTACAGGATGATGCTCCAACCGAGCCACACCGGCCAGGGCAACATAGAAAATTCTGTGATTAGATTACAAAATTTGTAATCTGCTATGTAATTAGACATAGTTTTTTATAAGTTTTTAAGTATTTGATAAATGTTGATGACTAGGACCTTCCTCTGGACTGAATTTCTGTTCGATTCTTTATTTTTTAATCCTGAGGATATTTGTTTTCATTGCTTTACAGAGAGAGTAGAAGGGAGAGTGAGAGTGAGAGAGAGAAACATCAATGTGAGAGACACACATTGATTGGTTGCCTTCCACATGCACCTCGACCTGAGCCAGGGATCGGGCCTGTAATGGAGGTACATGTCCTTGGCAGGAACTGAACCCAGGACCCTTCAGTCCATGGGCTGATGCTCTAACCATTGAGTCAAACTGGCTATGGCACTGTTCAATTCTTAGATGTCATCTATGTTAAGATTAGTGTAGACTTTGTCATCTCAACAACATACCTGCCAACTGGCCATCAACACTCCTCTCGAACATTTTCAGATATGGAGAGCTCATTACTTACTGGGAGAGCTAATTCCTTTTATTTATCAACCTTAATCATTAGACTGTTCTTCCTTTAACTGAACTAAACTCTTGTCACCTATTGGTGGGAATTTTCTTGGGAGAAATTACTGAATTAATTGAATGCCACATCCCACATAGAGAATTGGAACTATTTGAAAACATATTTAATGTGCCTCTTAAGTTGTCTCCCCCCCACAAGTCTTTCAGCTTTCCTTAGCAGGTACAGAGTCCCTCTAGTACCCTTGTCTATCTGTCACTCTTCCTCTTAGAATGAGACACCCATTGGAAGGAACCTAGTTGTCCAACAATTGGGGACTGGAAAGTTTAAATAAATTGTAGCACGAGGAAATACTGTGTAGCCCTATAATCATGTTTTGAAAAGTATTTGATATAAAAATGTTCATGACATATCAAGTGGAAGGGAGCATTCTGTATATGCCATAAGAGCCCAGCTTCATTAAAAATACACACATAGAAATGAACACAGCACTCATATAACCCATAGAGTTTTCCAGGTATATCCTGATATTGCAGAGTTGAGAGGAGCTAGTACCTTTCAATTTGGATGCTTTACTTTCCCATTTCAGCTTAGGGTTTGGGGCAGAATCATGTCATTTAGCATTGTACCTGCAGTTCATCAGAGCCCCAGAGAATTTTTCCCCTCTTGAATTATTACCTCTTTTAATCTGATAACTGGCGTTGGGAGCAGCCCATCACAGATACACCTGGGCTGAACAGAGAGAAGGGAAGGATGCCCAGGTCAGTCTCCATGTAAGTGGCTTTTGTGGAGACTGGACTGGCAAGAGGGAGGTCAGTGTTCCAGACCCACTGGGGGCCACCCCACCTGGAAGTCCTACCAGCTGCAAGATGGAGTAACACTGCTTTGCGAAAGTGAGCAGAACCCTGTTTGGCTCTCTGCGAAATGCTGGGTCCTAGAGATGGCAGGAAGCCTGTGCAACCACAGCTCAGCTCAGAGAATACAAATGCCCTCTGTGTGTGCCCCCTGCACACCATCCCTGCCCTCTGTGCTACCATCCCTGCCACTTCTGTGTAAGGAAAACCTCTGGGTATCAAAGCACTGGAGAAAATGCAACACAAGTGTTTCTCAATCTCCACTTTGGACAACTCCCCAGGGCCCTGTTGTTATTGGGGAGACAGAGAAGGGGAGGGCATTAGAGGAGGCGAACAAAGCTCTATGTGGGGCAGTCCCTTTAGGGAAGCAAAAGGAACAGCCATGCAGACAGCTCCACATGTATCTGCAGTAGGGGAGAAAGGACACTGGAAGGAGAGGAGAACTGTTTCCTGAGGCTGCAGATGGAACACTGAGTGGAATGTACAACTCACAAGTGGTTCTTTATTGTCTTATCTACAGGAGTCGATTCTCATCTCTGGGAATAGAGCTTTGGATTAGTTTCTGTCTTGTCTCTTTGGGCGCACCCTGTCTGGACTGTACCAATGGTTCATTTAATTTACCTTTTAATTATTAAAAGGCTGCTCAGCCCAATGTACACTCTTGTAGATTTATAAGACCCCCCGTAGTAAATAGAAACCCAGCCCATGGGCGCTCTGTTTCCTGATGCTCAATGCAGTAAACACGTGGAAATCTCTGTTCTCATGTAGACACACACACCTTCCAGGGCGAACGACCCAGAAGGTTGACCCCAAAACACTCCTGCTTGCTAACCATCTTTTCTCTATTGAAGTTTGTGTTTTCTTAAATATGATCTCTTCAGCCACTAAAACAACATTTTTTAATACTTAGACCTGCAGCTTACACAAGTATTGCTTAGTAATTGTTTAGATAATTTTAAGTGAACACACCAACACGTGAACTTCCTGAAGTTAAAATAAAGTGATCTCTTATCTTTAAAGGGTTTGTAGGTTTCATCAGGGAAGCAGAGCGACCTGCTGGGTCAAAGTCAGAGCCTGTGGTTCTAGCCCCACAGCCTTTACCATGACTCCCTGTTAATCTCTCCCACTTGTCACGGGAAACTAAGTACTCTCCGCAGTGTTGCGGGGAAAAGTTGGTGTGCAGTGCTCATAAACCCAGAAATAATAAAGATGAAGTTCTTGCTTTTATATAGCTACGGTTGCAATGTGAGTTGTTGCACTTTTGGGGATTTTGCCATCCGCTTTATCCAGCAAAAGCCCAAATGGCTCATTTCCACCCCTCAATTCAATATCCTCAGCTGGAGTTGATTTTAAACCTTGCCAAAGCTCCCTCATGTGTGCCCCTCCCTGTACCTTTTTTTTCTGGCGCTCTGTTCTTTCAGGCCTCAAGTTTCCTTCCTTTCTTCTCGGGAAGCCACCAGCTTTTGCTGCTGCCCGGCTCCGTCAAGATGGGCAGTTTGAGTGTGCATGCCTGTTCAAGCACGGACGTGTTCACCTGTGAGTGGCCTGTGTGCATGCGTGTGTGTGTGTGCATGTGCGGGCGTATGCTCCTAATAACAAAGGACACCAGAACACTTAAGGCGCACGTTTCCCACACAGGTCAGTTTGTACTTACATAGTTCGAGGCCAGGTCCGGGTGGAGATAGTCAATCCCTGTGAAAAGAATAGCACAGGAACAAAAGGTTAATACCTGCCGCCGTCCTCAGGAAAGCTCCTCTGGAAGGTCTCTCCTTCTGTGCTGCTGCCAGGAGGCACTGCCGGAGGCCCCAGCCGTCGGTTCTGCTTCCCGAGCGAGGGTGGGCTGGCTGCACCGCCCAAGTGGAGAGACAGCTGCCACCAGAGGCATCAGAGGAGTGAAGCCAATTAGAGCTTGGAGCCTCAGGATAGGACTTCTGCCATAACTGTCAGCACGAAGGGGCTGAGTGTCTGTAAGATAGATGGCTCATCGGGGCAGTGATGTAAGAGAGATTTGTGGAAATCCTGACATTTCTGAAGCATCAACTGGCATTTCTTCTGAAATGAAACTGGCCCGGGGGAGGGAAAGCAATTATTATTTAACAGGGCCTGGACAGCAATGGATTAGGAGAGGGTTCTCTGGCATAGAAATAATAAGAGCATCACAGCTGGGCAAGAACAACGACTAAGCAAAGGGCAAATGGTCTCCCACAAGATGTCCCAAGTGGGAGCTGATGCTTGTCTTTCCAGAACACGGCTTTTTGAGAGGCCTGAGACCTTGAGTCTCCCAGCAGGGGTGCTGTGCTTTCTCCTAGATGTGGACTATCTTGCTGCCCAATAGCCGTTCTGATGGTAGAATTATGGTCCCTGAGCTACTGGCCTCCATCAGACTCATGAGCCTCAGAAAGTACCCTGGAACTTCAAGGGCAAATTGAAAAGTTTCCTCCAGGTCTGAGAGCCATATCATCATTGCAGTAGGTACACCTAAGCATTTAGCCCTCCAGGGAACCGGCCAGGTTCCTGCACTAACATAATGGTTGTAAGCGTAGGTTTTGGAATCAAAGGTTCGATTTGGAATCCCAGCCATGCCGCCAACTGGCTACATGACTTCAAGGGAAATGCTTGGCCTCTCTGTGCTTTTCTTCTTGTCCTAGTGGAGGTGAGAATAGTGTGCTGTGCTTACGCTGGCGGCATTTAACAGCTCTATTGGGTTGCAATATTTAAAAGGCAGAAGTATCATTCAGTCTCTCCCACCTTCCCTGCATACATTCTAAGGCCAGGTCACAACTATAGCTTTGTTTTGCAAAAGAGAACTTGCATCAGGATGTATATAGCTGACCCATGAACGTGGGGTTGGAGGCGCCAACCACCCAGGCAGTCAAAAATCTGCATATAACTTAAGCAGACCCTCCACAAATGTGGATTCCCAACCACCAGCTGACCCTTGCAGAATGCGAGTTTGAACTGTGCTGACCAATAGAAAAACCCATGTATAAGTGGACCTTCACAGTCCAAGTCAGCATTCTTCAAGGGTCAACTGTATTTCTAAAAACATTTTTCTTTGTTTTTGTTTTTTTTTTGTGTGTGGTTACAAGTAATTTCTGCTAAGTACTTTCAGGACTGGGAGTCACTGTTCTACAGAACATGTTTTCTTTCTTGCTGCTGGTACAGATATCTGAAACAATGACTGTTACCATGCTGATTTCTATAGCTTGGGAGAGTATAGCTGGTCTCTTCCTGCCCACCATTCTCCTCCTCCCACTCCCCTGTCAAGGAGAACTGAAGAAGGACAGGGGCCAGAAGACTTGAAAAGTAACATTTTGAAAGTCCTCAGACCTGTGTTCTGGACTCTAATTCAGAGATGGTTAGTTTAGGCTGTGTTGGGGGTGAGCACAGGCTATGGGACCAACAGATCCAGTTCCATTTAGGCTTAGACACTGTAATATTTGTGTGGCTTTAGCCAAATGACGTAATCTCTCTGAGCCTTGGTTTTTTCAACTTTAAAATGGGGATATTATTTACCTTGCAAAGCAATTTTCAAGATTAGAACCAATTCATTGAAAGTGTTTAGCTTGTAGTAAACACTTGATAAATTATATTTCTATCATCATTATCAGCACCATTATCTACCACAACACTAGAGTTATGTGGATAATGCCGAAGAGCAGAACATTAAAAAAAAAAAATCTACTTGGTTTTAGAATGTTGTGTCAGAATTAAGTTGTTGTATATATTTGCTAAAACTGGTTAAATTTTGTGAACTCATTGTTAGGCAAACATTTTTGTAACATACAGATAAGGTATAAGGAAAATGACACACACACAGACGCACATACAGAGAATGATTTTTTTCTAACAGGGAGTCAATTTTTAAAACATGACTCTATGCTGTATGCAAGTTGCTTAGGAGAGGAATTTTCTGAGAAATAGTAGTCCCTTTTCTATGAAGGGAAAATATTGAAGCAAAGAGATAATTTGAGCCCAGACGGAAATTAGAATTAAGACAAGATAAATTTAGCCAAATTAAATAAAACATCTTTAATTAAGTTATGGGGAAGACCAGGTGTTAAGTTAGAACAGACACAGATTTTGGTCTGAGAAAGAAAAGGTTATTTATAGAATTGTGAAGGATGACAGACCTGATTCAGAATAATAATAATGAACTAAAGCAAGAAAATGACAACCTGGTAATTAAATAATATTTTAATAGTTTTGTATGTTTGATGATCTTTTGAGGAAAATCTACTGAATACATCTAAATCAGCTTATTTTTTTACTTCTTCTACTAGTAATATATTCAATTTTATTTTTCATGTATTTGTTTATTTTCAGCAATGAATGACAGGACGTATGTAGGTCCTGGAAAAACAGACAAGTTGGACACTGAACCCAAGCTGTACAACTATCACTGCCAGCCAATCATAATGAGTATGATTCACAAATTAAAAAGACTTGGTTATATTTTTGTTCATAAGCCTTTAGTATCCTGCCACTAGTTTGAAGTCAAATCCACAAAGTCCAAATTCCCAGGAAGCTCTGACAGTTCTAGAAACCTCAGGGAATTAGGTCCATGTACAAATTCCTAGTTAGAATGTTAATAGTTCAGTTGAGATGTATTACATCTCAGGACCCTGGTCCTAAGCCCAGTTCCTTCCATTGCTCTACGAAAGCCAGCTCCTTGCACCATACCCACTGACTTATATATTGCAGAGGAGTAGACCTCAGTGGATGAATTATATTTTTTAAAGGTGGTGGTTCAGTATCTCTGATTCCATATGGTCTTCTACAATATGACGTCAGCCCCCGCCCCCATTCTTTTTTCTTTAGTCTGGGTGGGCTGTGTTTGCTTCTATAAATAAGATATAGTGGAATGCCATTGCATGACTTCCAAGGCTAGGTCAGGAAAGCCCAGGCATCTCCCACCTGTTTCCTTTGGACACTGGCTTACTCTTCAGGAGGCAAGCTGCCATGTAAGGAGCCCATGTGTAGTCACTCTGTTTGACAGCTGAGCTCCAGCAGCAGCCAGCATCAACTCCTAGCCTGAGAGTAAGCATCTTGGATGTTCAACTCAGTCAAGCCTTCAGATGACCACAGCCCAGCCAACATCTGACCTCAAATGAATGAGGGTCCTCAGGTAAAAACTGCCCAGACAGGCTCTTCCTATGTCACAGAAATCATGAGCAAGATACTTGTAACTTTAAGCTGCTAAATGTTGGAGTCATTTGATACACAGCAATGAGAACTGGTACAGACATCCTGCTGGGTCTTCTGAGAACTGTGAAACCCAAATTAGGAGAGAAAATGTTGCTTTTCTATGTGATGCAGAGCTCTGAATCTCTCCGAAGGGTGTGGGTGACTGTTGTTCTTAAGCTTGGATCTCCACTGACATGGATGAATCCCATTCACAAAGTCCCACCAGGGAGGTGGAGCCAAGGGGCAGGTTTCAAGTACTGAGGATGGTGGTTAGGATTAGTTGTGAGACTTTGGGCAGTTTCTTGCCTTTCTAAACCTCAGTTACTTCATCTGCAAAATGTGGATAATAATAGGACTAATCCTAGAGAATAATTGTGGCTGTGTTTCCAAAATGTTAAGCAGTGCCTAGTATATAGTGAGTACTCAATAAACATTAGTTCTTATTGTTACTTCAGCTTGAAGCTCTCTCTGACCCCACCTCACCGATCTTCAGTCTTACTGCCTTGGCTCCATCTGATATCAGTTAAAAGTCTTGACCATACCACCCCTGACCATCTTTGACCTTAAAAAACAGTTGCTTGCCCTGGATCATGCCTGGGCTGGTGACTCTTGACCATTCCCATACCTTGGTATGGTCACATACCATTTTCCAGGTCAAATTTCCAACACCAAGCAATTCCATTACAACAAAAGAAGTGAATTATCACCATTAAATGGGGTCCTTGCTGACATCTACTTGCCTGGAATGTCAGCATAGACCCTTAAATGCTTTCTGCCTCTTTGGGCAATAATTAACCATGGAGGAACTCTCCTACTGATGTGCAGTGTCTGGAAATGACATTGTTGATCTAACTGAAGGCAGCAAATATTTATGGAGCATCAATCAAGACACTGGATCCAGTAGAGGAAATGATGACTGAGTTTTGAATTGGGCAACCAGAGAAGAATGAACGGCTATTAAAGCTAGGTTATCAAAGCATAGAGATGATATAATATTGTTGTACGGTGGCAGATGGTTACTAGACCTATGGTGATTATTTTATAAGGTATGTAATTGCTGAATCACTATGTTGTACACCTGAAACTAATATAATATTACATGTATGTCAACAATATTTAAAAAAAGAACCTTTTTTTCAGGATTAGTTGTGAGATTTTCCAAGTTGTGAACCAATTTGTTCAACCACAAATTGAACCTTTTACATACAGGTAATAGAATATTTGCCACACAGACCAAAATACAGAAAGCCAGTGCTTTATACAATATTACATTATTTTGCTCTTAGGTGTCAGGGTCAGCATCTGTGCCTGTCTTTAGTCTTGTTTTGCACTGATATCTTGCTGAGAATGTATCTGGGAAATGATAGCATGCCATTCACCTGTCCAGGCAGCTGAGAGAGAAATTATAGCTCTGATGCTCCCAGCCACACCCTCACTGCTTCCCATTTCTAGGTGTTGGGGCAGAGACGCCCACTTGAGTGGCATGGTGAGAGGCTGCCAAGCATCTGGACTTGTCCTCCTTGCACTGGGGGCCACTCTTATCCCAAATGTGCTCATCAACAGTGGATTTGGGGAATGGCTTGGCAGTCTTTTTCCCCCTTCAGTTATCACACTTAATAAGCACATGCTGAATTAAAGAGTGTCACAAATCCTTTTTCCCTCTCTGTATCAGGAGTCAGAATCTGTTAGGCCTTCTCTGAAATTTGGCCCTGCGATTAGATCCAACAGAGTGGCTGAGTGATACTTGCTCATTCCAGGCGTAGACCTTAAAGAGACTGGCAGCTTCTACTTCTTAGAATGCATGTTCTTGGGAGCCCTGAGCCATCTGTAATAAAGCCCATCTACATTGCTGGGGAGACCGTGTGGAGTGGAAAGGCTGGGACTGCATGGAGCTGGGGGGAGCCTCCAGTTGAATCTAGTCCCAGCCATCTTCTGGCTCCAATTGCACTAGAGACCCCAGAAAGGCCAGCAGCAGAACTGTCCACCTTAGCTTGGTCAACCCACAGAACTGTGAGAGGTAACAATACGGTGGTTGTTTAAAGCCACTTAATTAGTAGGTGGCCAAAACAACAGAAAAGTTAGGAGTTTTAATTGGGAGGCAGAGAGTTTGCTGTTTTGGAATCCCAAAGGCCACTAATCAGCAGACGAAATAACATCAAACAAATTCTGTCAAAACTTTCTGAAGGACTTGGCCTTGCAAGCCAGGAAACATGGAGCAGAGCCAGGAGTCGGCTTGGCTGTTTTCGGAAGGGGTGATGGACACACAGGCAAGGGGGCTATATTTAAAGAGTTCTGAAGTAGGAGTCACAGGGTGTTGGAGGTTTCATAAGAGCGGGGTGCATGCCTATTGTCACTATAGGGCCGCTTTTAGGGTGCTTCTCTAATACCTAGCCAGGGGCACACAGTAGATATGCTATATGAAATGGTCACTACAATATATCCTAGGCAGGTTTTCCCCAAACCTAGGTGCATCTTTCTCCTGGGTGAGCTGGCCTCAGCCACTTTGGTTTCTAAACCAGAACATCAGGAAGGAAGAGGCTGTTATGAGCCCCCCACACGCACACACACTCTTGCGCAGAGCTCTTTCTTCTTGTGAAAGCCCTCGGCCACTGGAGAAAGCTTTTACATCCACTTCAAAACGTTGAACCCATCAGAAAACAGTGAGGCATTGTTTTTATGTTGCTATTTAATGAGCCCACACAAAGACAGCAGCAATTTTAATCACTCTGGCTCCCCTTGTTTTTCCATCAATTCTGCTTCAAAGGCTTGCTTTAGAGAACATAGTGTTCTTTGAGGATCTTCAGAAGGGAAAGGCTCCATCCATTGTTTCATCTTTGTATAGCCTTTATAGGTAATTGGGCCAGAACTGCACAGTGGAGCTTTTACTGGAAGCCTCAGACGGCTAATGAAGGGCGACAGACAGTACATCCCCAATGAGATGACTACAGGGCAGAGATGCTCCAGGATCTTGGCAGAGCCAAGGACATGTGTAGTTAGAAAAACAATTCATCCAACCCACTGGTTTTCATATCACAAATGATAGAAAATAAACTGTTAAATCTTTATCTGGCAAATGTTTGGGATAACGTTATAGGGGGCATGTGTTATAAAATGTTATTGAAGTCTGCTTTACAAGGCTTCATTCTGAAAGTAACAACAAAGTAAAAAAATTCTCTAAACCTCAATCCTGCTGCTAAAAAAGCTGTCTCATGGAGCTACAGCCACACGGTCTAATAGAAATTTCTGTGATTAAAAATGGAGCTGGCTTGAATCTCAGCAGCCGTTAGACCCAGCAGCTATGAGAACCTGAAATGAAGCTTGGAGCTGAATTTTCAATTTTATTTAGCTTTAACTAATTAAAGTTTAAACATAAATAGCCACATATGGTTAGTGGCTAGTACACTGGCCAGTGTGGATCTAGAGAAATAGATGGTAACTATAAAGAGGTTTAGAAGATGTTTTTAGGTAAAGTAAAGCAGTGGCTTAAGAAATTAATGTTGAGTAATGATCACGTTTCATTTGTTTATTATTTTAGCTTTCTAAATTTATTAACTCAACAAAGATTTTTAAAGGATATCCTCAAATTTGAGGACCATGGGTTTGGAGGAAGGTGAAGGTTTGGCCATAGTATAGATGGTCATCAGGCCCAGCATCTGGCTATTCTACCTCCAAAACAAGGACTCTCTTATATGCTAACGGCATGCAAAGATATACTTGCTTCCAAATGATGTAAAGGGCAATGTAACACTCACCGTCATCCATGATTCCAATGGTAACACCTTTCCCTGTGTAGCCCAGCTCCCAGGCTTCGGCCACATTCAGATCAAGGCCAGGAGTGCCATCGGCTTGTCCGGTATTGATCTGGTGCAGGAATTCCAAAACAGAGACTGTTATTAATTTGGTGTAATAAAGCACTGTGTAAATGTTGGCTTGATATGCTCTGCAGCCACCTGATATTCCAGGGCCAGCTCAAAAGCCACATCGTCCTTGAACCAGTATTTTGGGTGTCCCCTCACCCACTTCTTCTAGCCTTCTCCCTTAATGTTTCAATATACACGATTGATGTTTTATATTTTTTATAAGTGTGCAATCACAGTTTCAATCCTCCCATCTTTTATGACCAGATTGTGATCTTTAACGTCCTTAGGGCTGCCATTGCAAGAAACCCTCCGCTGTTGAGAATTAAGTGCTCGGTGTTGTAGGTCTTGGTTAGCGTCTCATGTTGTGAACTTAGCACCTGCTTCGAACTACTCTTGGGTGTGATTTTCTTACTACATACACCATCCTCTGCAAGAGGGAGATGTTCCATTTACCTTTGTGATTTCAGTACTACCACACCAATCTTGCTTAAACAGATTTGTTGAGCTGAATTAAAGATAGCTGGCTCAACTTTAGTGCATATTCTAATTCTAATTCTATCTATCTATCTATCTATCTATCTATCTATCTATCTATCTATCTATCATCTATCTATCCATCTATCATCATCTAATCTCTTTCTCTATATCTATCTATATATAATCTCCTCCCCCTTAAAAAAATTCAAAGATGAAATAAAGGAAAAAAAAGAAAAAATCCCAAATAAATGTGCTCACTACCTTCTTTCCACACTTCTTTGTCCTGTACAGATTTTCTCAAAGAGGAGTTGTAAAAAAATAGTGACATCTGAGTCTGTATTGTCAGAAGCTCACAGTGACCAATTTGGCCATTACAGTGTTGCTAAAACATCATGTGAATGCCAGTTCTCTTCATAAAAATGGCTGCTCTTCTCCTTCCAGACCTATGGTAAGATTATACCTCTCCATTCCCTTAGAAGTGAGAGTGACAACATGACTGGTTTGGCCAATGGAATATGTGCCATTGGTCACAGCCACCCAGAAGCTTTAAGAGCCATTGTGCAGTTTGCCCTCCCTCCCCTGATGTGCTCATGAAAGCAGGGATGAAGAAGGAACAGAGATGGAGCTTGATCAGCCTGCGTTCCCAAGGGGTTACAAAGCATCGGACGCATAGCGTGAGTGAGAAACTCTGATTTTGTTAGGCCGCTGTGATTTGAGGGTTGTTATTGCAAGAAACCTAGCCTATCCTGACTAGTACAGTCATCCCTCTGTATCCAAGGGGGTTGGTTCCGGAGCCCCTGTGGATATGAAAATCCGTGCATGCTCAAGTCCCTTATATAAAATGGTTTAGTATTTGCATATAACATGTTTTGCTTACAGGTTACAGCAGGACATGCCTACACATCACTTCATTTGCATGGGCTCAGCATGGTGCACTGATTGTGGCAAATTGAAGTTTTGCTTTCTGGAAATTTCTGGGATTTTTTTTTGGGGAATATTTTCAACCTGCAGTTGGTTGAATCCATAGATGTGGAACCTGTAGATATGAAGGGCTGACTGTACACATAAATTTATTTGGCTACTCAGGTGGAATTTTTGGAACTCCATGCCAAAAAGCAGAAGGTATGGTCAAGTTCTGAGGCCTCAAGAGGGGGTTGTGATGCATTCCTATTATGTAGCAGTCCACGGGTCATAATTTCTTTTCTCTCTTGCTCAACATCTTTTAATCTTAAATAAAGCTTTACTCACATTCATAAATTAGTCACTCCTTTTCTTCAATATGCCCTGCAGTTTGGTTTGTTTGGAGGCCTTGGGCACCGCCTTTTAAACATAAGTCAAGCCATCCAAATGGATGGGCTCTCAGTGAGCCAGAAAATATTCACTAACAGATAGATGGATGGGTTTCCCAGCCTTGATTCCTGCATCAGCTAAGTCCCGTGGAACTGACTTCCTGCCATTATTTGAGGAAACACTGATAGATGCTACTTCTGTTACTTTAGTCTTCAAGGTCTCTTGTTTGTCTCTTGTGAAGTCACCCGATTCTTTGTCTTATGCCTGTAGTTTTATCATGTCCTGCCATTACTTGGACTGTTGAGAACCCGCATAACTCTTCCCAGACCTTCACGTTGACTTTTATATGTGTTCGCAAGTCTTCATTCACACACTGGTGCACTTTCTCAGAGCCTGGGAGAATCTAATCTGCTGCTGCTACTTGCTTTGACCCTAGGAGACCAAGGCTACTTAGCAGTTCAGAAGAAAGCAGATTAGAGAATGAGATGCTTGGGTCGTGACAGAAAATCAATATGTGTCAGAGGGGACAGAGCAGTTCATGGAGTCGGATGCTGGCAAATGTCCCAAAGAATAATGAGGAAATAGAAATGCATTTTAAAAATCCGAAATCTCGAAATGAGAAACATTAGGAGTAATACACAGACACTTACCAGATACCACTGCTTTGTAAAAAGAGGATCATTCATGTTGATGTCGATCTCATTGATATCTCTATACCCTCGTTTTTTGCGGTCGAATCCTTCTTGTTGCAGGGCCATCTTTACCTGGAATGACAATACCGGCACATTACCTGAATATCAACCTAAGCAGCCCTCTTTTGAAATTCATTTCCATGAATTCAAGTTCCATTTATATATAAGATGTTTTTTCCCTCAGCTGAAGCCAAGCTCATCTCATATACACTCTCACTAAAGTGTATATGAGATTATTTTCCAAGAGCAATTAGTTTTCCTTGCAGTGAGCAAATGGGCTTGGTGATGGCCGAACATGAGTTTCCTTAAATAAGAATTAGGTGGAGAAAAGCACTCTCAGAGCAGACAAGGTAGTAGGGCCATTAAGCGAAGGGAACAGGGCAAAGGAACCCTCCCATGTGTAAGGACAGGAGAAGGGCCCCTCTTGTTCTTTGTCGTGGCCTTCCACAATTTATGAGAAGCACCTGGTAATTAAACCCCAAGATTTTTGGAGCTAATTTGAACAGCCCCTCCGTTCAAACTGCAGAGAAGATAAGCTACTCTCCAGGCTACCCTCTTCCCTGCTGTTTTCACAAATCAGAGATAATTCACACCAAGGAGCCTCTAGTTAGAAATTTCCCTTTCCCCCTCCCCTTCAAACAAGCCTCTTTGGAACTATTCATGACTTTTGTCCTAAGCATGTTTTACAGTCTTAGGAAAAATACTAAGACACTTTCCCAGGACATCTGCCGGACTGTCTCCTGGAAAGAAACAAACTGTAACTTTTCAAGACAACCTCTCCGGTATCTGCTCAACTTCCTGATGACCCAACCCCCCTCTCTTCCTTGTTGCCTAGCAACATATCTGCTTAAACCCCAGACCACCCTTTGTTGCTTGCCCTTGTATTGATTAGCATGCATGGACACTTTCCCTTTCATGTGGAAAGTAAAATAAATTCCTTCTTTGCACCTATCTCTTCTCAGTTGTGAAATCTTTCGCAGCCCGCATCACAAACTAAAACCCTAACATTATGAAGGAAAGGATAGTGATATGAATTCAGGGAGGGAGAATGAAACCTCATAAATCATTTTTCTGGAGGGCTTCCCAGCCTTTCTATTTGTTGACAGTACTGTGCTATCACATTTGGGAATCAGCCAAAAACAAAAAAACAAACAAAAAACCTGCGTGGAGAGCCAGTAAGTCCACAGAAATGCTCTAGAAGGCAAGTGAGGGGCCTGTGAAGAGAACTTGATGGATGGTGCTGCTGTTTTTGCAATGACAACACTTCATTTTTGGACAGTAAAACAGAACCCTAAGCCCTTGGATGGCAATAAAACTTAGGGAATGAATTAGTTTAAACAGGCTCCTGGCAACAGCTGGGCTCTGTCTCAACCAGGAAACTTTCTTTCACTTGGGCAAAAACTAATTTATCATCCGATAGCTGTGGCTAGTCTCTGAGCATCTACAAACTCACAGACTATGCAAATATATAAAAAAGTGAGTGCTGGATACTTATTACTTATTTAAATTATATTTTTCTGCCCAACATTTATTTCTCCTTTTTCTAACTTTCCCCAGCATATTTGGGGGATTACCTAGAATCCACTAGGTCTATGTTAGTCAAAGTGAAATTTGAGGCATCTGCCTGCTGTAAAGACACTGAAGGTGCTCTCTGCTCCAAAGGCGCCTCAGTGGGTATCTCTCTTCCAGGATCTAAATCCTACAGGCTAGCCCTGGGGCTCCCTCAAGACTAATCTTTCAGCCTCCCATATATTGTAAACTCCCATACCTTTCCAATAGATTCTCTTCTGCTTAAGTGACAGAGAATCAATTCCTGTTGCTTGCAATTAAGAACTCTGATATGGGACAAGAGGGTCCAAGTCAAGGTGGTGGTGGGCAGGGAAGAATGAACAGGTACAGATAAAAAATATAAGAAAGCAAGAGTATTTATTGCTAGGTATTATTTTATTAAAAACGAGCAGATGGATATTCGACAATTCTGGTTCAACTTTTAAAGCCAAATTTAACACATGTGCCCAGCACAAATTTTACCAGAGCAACTCCACTGCGCCTTTCCCCTTCTATCCCTCTCCTCAATTAAGAGCACATCTGTACCTCTTTCTGCCTTTGCCTCTTCAAGGCAGTGTTTGAACTGATAAGCTGAACACGGTTTATAAAACAAGGAACCCAGAACCAGCCATTGCTGGGGGTGATGTGGAAGATGATGGAGGAAGGAGACGACTCCTAAGCTCAGATGTTCTAGTTCATCTGCTTTGCTACCAACTGCTGGCTTTGGCTGTCAAGATCCAAACAGGGATCTAGAAATGAGAGAGGCGTGGGGAGGACAGACATGACCCAGGGAGGTCAATTGCTGGGAGGGAGAGTGAGGGGAGGGAACAGGCAGCACAGTCAGGGAGTCTGGCTACTTAATTTCCCCCTAAAGCAGGCAGGCATGGCTTTTTGGAAAGCCCAATTATAGGCAAATCACGGGGCTTAACTTTTCAAAGAACAGGGAGTTAAGCCACAATCATGGCTGAATGCACCGTATTGATCGCCCTCATTTATCGAGGTTTGCCCATCTTGCAAGAATGAAGACAATCAATTGAGGAGAGAGGATATGGCTGCGTGCCTCTGGCCACAGTTCCAGTCACTGCATCTCAGTGACAAGATATTAACAAATCTCTATCTTTCAACTAAAGCCTTGTATACAAGATACACCGAGATAAGTCAATGTAATTAGGGAGGGATCGAAGGATGTTTTTAGTGGAGTGAAGCACAGAGGCCCAATCCCAGCTCCCATGTTTGCTGGCTCATGTGCATCTTACTTAGGTTGCACTTCAGGATGATTTTGATCTTCCTCTTGCTCCTGTTGCCAGGATGGTGGGGGCATGTCACGAGTTGGATTTAGGAGATTATATTAGGGAAAAGGATATTAAAAGATGGTAGGGATGCGGTCGGGACGAATCAAGATGGCGGCGCAGGTAACAGTCGACCCGCTGCCTCCCGCAACCACATCAAAATTACAACTAAGATACAGAACAACCATCACTCAGAGCCTCCTGAGATCTGGCTGAACAGAAGCCCCACAACCAGGGAACTGAGGAAGCACCGAGACCGGCGGGGGGGCGGAGACGAGAGCAGACAGGGGCTGAATCCCGGAGACGGGCCGCGGGCCCACACCCTGTGCCTCCAGATAAACCTGGGAGGGAATCTCGGCAGTGGAGGTTTCCTGGAGGACAGAGGGGTCCCAGCCCCACAGCAGGCCCCCAGCCCAGGGCTCCAGGGCCGGGAAGAGACGTCCCCATACCTCTGGGCTATGAAACCAGCTGGGACTGTCCCTGAGGGTCGCGGAGGCTGCGGGA